TACACATCACGCAAATCCATTTATTCTGCAATCATTTCAGGTGGCTTAATTTTGGAATTAGGCAGAAGACAATTTCTGGTGCTGGGGATTTAGCCCAGAGCTCTGGGCGTGTTAGGAAAACACTCTCCACTAAGCTATGTCCCCAACCCAGGTGGAACGTTTTTGATAACGGACTTGCTGTCGTTATTGTTACTGTTATGAACAATACCATATGGAACCATAAGCACTTTCTACATGTGAAATACTGTTCCAAGCATTTTACATGTATAGAATAATCTAATTTTCTGTATGATGTGTACTGTTTCATTTTAGAGAGATGGGAACAAGGGCACAGGGAACATTACTAGTGTCTCCTTTAAATGAGATTGCATCATAGCAGAAGTGCTAACGTCAGACATCCCAATGACCTAATATTTATTTTTTAAAAGTTAATGTTTCATAAACCTTTAATTGTATAAAAACACAAGTTTTACATTTTTAACAGGGATAAAATTTATGAAGAAATCATACCTTAAAATGCCTGCATATACTTTTTATCAATGAAGAATTCGGAGTTCTTCATGCATAATTTCTGAAATACTGAAGAATCTAGTCTGAATTCTCCCACAGATGAAATTCTCACCTAGTAATTAGTCTTTCACAAGTCTTTGTGGCAAATACTTAAGAAATTTAAGAAACTATAATAGAAGTATAATAGCATATGTCTCCGTGGTCAGAAGTGAATCATTCCAATGTTTTACTTAAAAGGTGTTCAATTAGTAGGATTATGAAATAAAAGTTCAGAAACAAATTATTGCTTTACTTTTAAAAACATGGTTTATTTATATCCCGACTTTACTGCTTCACTGCTCGCAGTAACATGTGCTTTCTCATGGAACTGTCTGCGACTACAGCTCTACCTTTGGCTAAGGGCAGATGTGGTCTGGAGTGCTCAGGGCATGCCATTATCTAATGACTGCATGAGAGACGCTGAGGCAGGTGCTTGTCACAGGGGAAATTCTGATACATCTGTCATTAAGCTGTGAATCGGCTATAAACATGGCAAATAATTAATATAATCGTCACACCTCTAGTTAAGAAAAAGTATCTGAATTATTTCAGTCTCAAAAATCCTAAGTTTGACAGCAAAACAGTCAACTCACTTACTACTATGCATGTTTTTTTTTTTTTTTTTTTTTTTTTTTTTTTTTTTTTTTTTTTTTTCCAAGACAGGGTTTCTCTGAAGCTTTGGAGCCTGTTCTGGAACTAGCTCTATTGATCAGGCTGGCCGCTGCCTCCCGAGTGCTGGGGGGGCCACCACTGCCTGGCTAACCATCTTTGCCAATCATTACCTAGTTATCATAAAGCTACTGTGCTCATGGAGGCAGTAACATAAGCTATGATAAAAGCTGGCTTTAAATCATAACGGTCACTTCTATCCAAAGTTAAAGCTAACTTCAAGTCCAACAGAATGGAGATATCCATATGAAGAGATGTGTAGACACCAAAGACATTCTAGAAAAATGTATTTACATTCATTTTCAGCACATCAAAATGATGCAAACTGGGGTTTCTATTTCAGTGCAAACATTAAAAGACAGGACAGAAATGTCTGATTTTTATCACTGAAGTTTGGTATTACAAATAGGTCATCTGGTTTATTTTGGTTATAGAAACACCTTTCGTAAAATTAGTATTTGATACAAAGACAAAATAACAATTTTCAATGTTTTAGACAGAATTTTGTTACCTGAAATTCTTTGAGGTTTGTTGACCTCAAACTCTAAATTCTCTTGCTTTAGTCTTGGTGTGTACTACCATACCTGACTTCTATAGCAGAATTTTTTAGATAAACAAATTTTTCTTTATTTATACTATTTTGATATCAGAGCAAAAGAAGCTCTTATTCAATGACCATTACAAACTCTATGATGTATACTTTGAGAGACAAATACATAGAAATTACATAGACAAATCCAGTTTGGCCTAAATATTCTTAAAAACTTAACTTCATTCAAGCAATATTTATAACATGCTATTTTAAAGATAATTAGGTAACGATTACTACAAAACTAAACTTGTTAAACTTTGCATGAATCATATAAAATAATTTTTACACATTTTAATTAGTTTTGTCAACACTGCATTATAAACTCTCTTGTAAGATTGTTGCCTACATGTATCTTATAAAAAGTATTACAGACATGTAAAAATCATACATTTGGCCTTATGTCCTAGAATAAAAACACTCTAAAAATTACTTTAAATATATGTGCTTTATATACACAATTGCACATACAGTTAAGTGAAAATTCTTACCATTGCTTTCCTTTTGATGCTAGTCACTCCATTATTCTTGATGGTGCCTTCCTACATCAAGTAGACAGTAACCATATCACAAAATGCATGTGGGTGCTTCCTTCTTCAGATGTGAATTTTCGGCCAATTGCCAGTTCAGTTGAGAATTTAAACTGAAAACTAAATTACCCAAACTTTATTAAGTTGCTCCCATGTCCACCAGCTGATAATGAGCAATGATACTAAACTGGAAAAATGCATATGCGGACTATCTCTTTTTAGGAGATCATATTATATTTGAGAAGAAATGCTATGACCCCAAACTGAAACTTGTACTATCTTCAGAGAATGGGTTTAACTAAGTTTCAGTCTCTCCCTTGAATGTCCTCACAATCATCCCAAACATATAATGAAGATGGTATTTATTTGATGATACAATGAATTATTAAGTCACAAAGTTAAATGCCACCAAACATTGCCTTCACCTAAGCTAATTATGTCTGCAAACAACCTGACTGTAACATTCATTTTACAAACACTCACTGAGTCATTAACTACCTGCAGTACTATATACTGTAAAAGAAATTAAAAGTTATATTGCAGACACAGGGTTGACTGAAAATACCATCTTACTATTAAAAATAATAGTTATCTATTTGCAATTATAATATAATACTCCATACCTCTGTCCATTTTATTGGTAGTTATTCTTTGGAGAGTCTCCTTATCATGTATGATCTGTGATCATTATTGGTCTTTATTATTACTCAGCTGTGCAATCTGTTTTGATACTTTTAACATTAAAAATGACTGATTAAATACTTTCTGAATATCAACTATAGTAGATCCAAAATTAAGTGCAGATATCTAAACAGCTACAAGACCTCAAATCTCAGGTTTTATGAACAATCATGCAGATGCATATCCACCCATCTATCATTCCACCAATCCATTCATCCACCCATCCATCCATCCATCCATCCATCCATCCACTCATCTACATAGTCATCCACCCATCTATACACCCATTCATATATCCACCTCATTCACACAGCCATCCATAATCTACACATCCATCCACACACCCATCCACATAGCCATTCATACATCCACACACCCATCCAATGTTCCTGTATCATAACCCAAAATTACTATGTAGATATTATGTAAGAGAGGCTATAGGTTGAATCAGCTTAGAACCAAACCAAAAGAAATGAACTTCAGACACAGGACCTCAATAGAGTTAACAATATTTACCTCCAAACAGCTTGCTATCATAAGAACAGCACATTCCACCCAAAAACCTCAAAAGGTTCAAACTATTCAGAAAAAATTTCCTTCTCAGGTGCTATGCACCTACCAAAAAAAGGTTATTTTCTTAAGGGGTTTAAATGCAAATCAAAACAACTTTGAGATATCATCTTACACCTGTCAGAATGGCTAAAATCAAAAACACCAATGATAGCCTTTGCTGGAGGGGTTGTGGAGGAAGGGGTACCCTCATCCATTGCTGGTGGAAATGCAATCTTGTGCAACCACTTTGGAAATCAGTGTTTCGGTTTCTCAGGAAATTCGGGATCAACCTACCCCTGGACCCAGCAATACCACTCTTGGGAATATACCCAAGAGATGTCCTATCATATGACAAAAGCATTTGTTCAACTATGTTCATAGCAGTATTATTTGTAATAGCCAGAACCTGGAAACAACCTAGATGCCCTTCAATGGAAGAATGGATGAAGAAAGTGTGGAATATATACACATTAGAGTACTATGCTGCGGTAAAAAACAATGACTTCTCGAATTTTGCATGCAAATGGATGGAAATAGAAAACACTATCCTGAGCGAGGTAACCCAGACCCAAAAAGATGAACATGGGATGTACTCACTCATAATTGGTTTCTAGCCATAAATAATGGTCACGGAGTGTATACCTGGTGAACCTAAAGAAGCTAAAGAAGAAGGTGAACCCAAGAAAAAACATATAGTTATCCTCTTGGCTATGGGAAGTAGACAAAATTGCCGGGGAGAAAATTGAGATCTTGGGGGTGGGGTGGGTTGGGGATAAGGGGGGACGGGGAGAAAAAAGCGAGAAGGGGAGGATTGGGGGAACTTGGGGAAACAGGAAGATTGGGATAAAGGAAGGTTGGATAGGGGAGCAGGGAAGCACATATCTTAGTTAAGGGAGCCACCTTAGGGTTGGCAAGAGACTTGAACCTAGAGTGGCTCCCAGGAGCCCAAGGCGATGTCCCCAGTTAGTCCCTTGGGAAGCTGAGGATAGGGAACCTGAATTGACCCTATCCTATAGCAATACTGACGAATATCTTCCATATCACCATAGAACCTTCATCTGGTGATGGATGGAGATAGAGACAGAGACCCACACTGGAGCACTGGACTGAGCTCCCAAGGTCCCAATGAGGAGCAGATGGAGGGAGAACACGAGCAAGGATGTCAGGACCACGAGGGGTGCACCCACCCACTGAGACAATGGGGCTGACCTATTGGGAGCTCACCAAGGCCAGCTGGACTGTGACTGAAAAAGCATGGGATAAAACCGGACTCTCTGAATATGGCGGACAATGAGAGCTGATGAGAAGCCAAGGACAATGGCACGGGGTTTTGATCCTACTTCATGTTCTGGCTTTGTGGGAGCCTAGCCAGTTTGGATGTTCACCTTCCTAGACATGGACAAAGGGGGGAGGACCTTGGACTTTTTATATATTTTTTTTGCATCGTCAGGGTTAAATAAACTTTATTGAGCCTCAAAAAAAAACTTAGTGGGGCACATGTGTGTGAAGTATGTTGCACAAACGACTGGATATCCACCACAGAAACAAGCCCATTGAAACACACGTGTGTGAAGCATGTTGCATGAATGACTGGATTTACAGACACACACACACAGCACACTGCATCAATATAAATGTTTTGAGTAGACTGATGACATATGGAGCCAATTTGAAAACCATCTCTGAAGTGAAAAATACCAGCTACATTTTTTTATTTAGTTTAATAAAGTCTGTAAACAGTGACTGAACACAGAATATGGCTTTGGAAATATTCATGCTCTCAGTCTGGAAGATCAAGAAAAATTCCTTAGTCAAAAGAAATGTTAGCACATGCAGCCACCCCTGCCACTCACTCAAAGTACTGCTTTTCAGCAAGAGAGAAGCAGCTCTAGGCACGCTCACTCACTCTAATGATCACAGTCATCATGGCTGTAAGTTCACTTTTAATACAAGACACAGAACTGGTAAGTCTCTCTGAAATGAACAAGATCAGGAACACATGACTACTGTTAGCACAAGAACCTCCTATTTCTGCAGGTGAAATAGACTAGCTTATACATACATGTGATTACATGTAGTTGATCTGCTACATTTACTGCAATTAAGAAAAAGATACCAGAGGAAGGAATATTAGAAATTTCAACATTTTAACATCCATACTAGTATTACATTTTCAGATGGCCCATAAGCCTTAGAAAATGAAAATTATATAATCCATAAAGTTAGAGAAAAAAAAGACTTATGAAATGGAATTCCCCAAAATTTCCATGGCTTCACATCCATTTGTTTTTCACTCTTGGTACCCTATTTTATCATGTGTGTGCATGTATATCTAAATTTTACACATGTAAAGCATTGGAAAAACAAAGATCTCACTATTTCAGGTGACATAAAATATCTCAATATAATGTACATATTTGTACTTTATATACGCACCTGGGCAACAAGACACTTTATTGCTCAAATATAAGAAGATATAAGAAGAAATTCTTTAAACACTGGGTCCTGGAGTTGTGACTCCAGATGGGGCAGATAACTGAATGTGGGAATTGCAAAAATAAGAAGTTTCTGAATGCTCAACAATCACAAGTTAATCTGAAATCAAACAATGGCACTGCAGCTCTGAACATACAGTGCATGCACTTTCCACCGCACATGCCATGCTTGTAAGGCCCTCCACACTGCCTGACACATTTCCGCTCAGATCCAGTCTACAGTACAGACAGCAGCGCTGCTACTGCTCAGTTTTCTGCTCTTCCCGAGCACGGTGGTTTAATTACCGAAAATAAAGACTTTTAAATATTCTCCTACTACGATAGGATACCTCTCCATGTATCAAAATTACCTATCTTTGGAATTCATTATGTTAAGAGTGTTTAATTTTTAAATTACTATTTTTGTTGCTGATGAGTTTTCAGGCTTGGGATTGGACTAGAATTTCCAGTGTTTTCTGAAGTTCTCTTACACTTACCTTAGCCATTCTGCATGAGGTGCTGACATGAATGGCAGGTTCATCACTGACAATTACAAAATCAAACCATCAATCAACTCTGAAAAACAATGGACATGTTCTTTGCCCTGCAGCATCAAATTTTCAATCAGAATTTAATTAGTAGGAAAAAATAAACAAGTACATCTATCTTATTAGTATACATACTTGCTTTCATCTTTTATTAATAAAAGAGAAATTACAAGTACATCAAAGAACTCTTGCAAGTGTATTTGTGAGTACCAGTGTGTGAACTGTATGCCTATTTTATATGCTGATTAGACTGGGGTCACACAAACATGTCCCGAGTGCAAAGGAGCTTGAGTGTGAGGAGTTTAAGAAGCCCTGGTTTAGACTTAGTTATAATAAAAAGAGCTGTCTGTTAGTTCAATTGCCACGTCACTGCAGTAACTCAGGTGTTTCCAGTAAAGTGCAGCAAGTTTCTCTCATGTGTCTCAAAAGAACACTCATCAGGCAACATCTAAAATCACCAAACCACCTGTGAACAGTGCTGAACCAGTCACTGCTGTCATATATGCCACACTCACCATCGTCAGCCTCTACACCAGCAAAGGCTACAAAACCCACAGGACATGCAACATTTTGGTATCTATCATTTTAAAAGACAAAAGATTATCATATGATACCAAAACCACATGTGCACATAAGGCATTTTACTTATATTCTGTTTGTTCACAAAGTTACAACCTCAGTGTTATATATGTCTGTGTGTCTATACTGGTATATGCATATGTGTGTATAGCTCAACAGAATTAGTTCAATGTTAGAACTAGATTAAATAGAAAGATCACAAATATATATGCAACACATTGCTTATACCAATACCATATTATCATTGACAGTAAGAAGCAGAAATTTCCTTTTAAAATCTGGTGGGTTTTGTTGTTTTGAAAAAGGGTTTCAGTCTAGACAAGGCTGGCTGGCAACATTCTGTATACACCTATGCAGGCCTAGAATTCACTGTAATCCTCTTGCCTCAGCTTTCTGAGTATTGGGATTACAGACATGAACCACCACACCTGGCAAAACTGGAGTTTTAAAAGTTCAGTAACAACCTAACTTCCTTCTCCAAAGCACATGCGACCAGTCCAGAAGCCTACAGTTATTCCCCAGTATGCCCACTGCTCAGGAGCACATAAAAACAGAAATAAGGGTGTTCTGAGTCAATAAAGAATTCAAGAAAGGTACTTATTTAATCCCTTCTTGGGTAGAGAGTAGCAAAACATTTTATGCAAAACTTCTACAAATAAACAAGCATCAGTATTTGAACACTTACTATACATGGTAAGCTCTGCTCAGAATTAAGGGAATGGGGCATAACACATTATGTCCTCCTAGAATCTCAAAATTTCCATGTTTTTAGGTACTACAGAAGCTTATTTCAGTTCAACAAGAAATATGAACCAGAAGAATAGAGAAGAGATTTGTTAGCAGTATTAACCAAGAGAGACATAAGGAAGAGCTTTAGTTAGGGACAACAGGAAAGACATCATCAAGATCTTTGGTAGGCGTTAAGACAACTAACACTTTTACATGCAGGAAAACTACTTTGAAGTCAAAGAAGGCAAGGTGGCATAAAACAGAAGTGTGGAGGAACTGTAGATATTTCAGCATCATCACACACTGGGTGTCTGCCAACCTGAAAGGATGCTCTCTTCACTCTCAGCGTGAACACCTAGTGAGGTACTCGGGGAGATTATGTCAGCTGGTGTCTGGATAGACTATCATTCTGATAGTAGTGAGAGATGGGAATCCAAAGTATCATTAAAATTTATCAACTGATTATAGAGATAAAACAGGTAACAAAGATGACAAACTTTGAAGGCTTTCTTATTTTTCTGGCAACTTCCTACTTTATGCTGGTACACCAGGAGAAAGGAAATGGTAGACTGTCAAATGTGGCTTTAGTTGTAGTCACGGAGACTCCGAGTAGCAAAGAACTCAGCTGTGGCATTAAAGGCAGAGAGGAGCTAGAGCAAAGGCTCGGAAGTGGGGACATGTGAAACAGTCCTCAGATTTAACAGTGCTCATTTGTGGGACAAAGCAGACAGCTCCCAAAGTACCTTTTAAAATACATGTTAAAGGTCCTATTACTGAGAATAAAAGGCAAAACAGTTTAATACACAGAATACCTAGAAAATAATGGCAAACTAGTTTAAAGCTAAAAAAATGCCTACATTTACATATGTGAAGGCAATCACCAAATAATGGGGGAATACAGAACCCCAATAGGCCATCTCTTGTCACCAAACCAACCTTCCAGTACCAGGCCTGGGTTACATTTAATTGAGTTATTAGTCAAAAAGGTCCCATGGGAAACCCCAAACAACCCAGGCTGCTGCCAGGACTATAGGTTTCTCTCCATAAACTGACAGCAAGGCCCCACTGCTGAAGATAACACCTACACAACTCATTGAACAGAAATTGAGCTGGTGTCTACATAGAGCCTTCACCCATGTCTTAGTGTCTTTGGTACAGGGAGGTATTCTGTACTCTAGTAAAAGAGAAACATAAACAGCAACCCAAACCCAAACCCTTGAAATGACAATGGTGTCCTTGAAAGAAATGCTAGGACAAGTGTGGCACAAAGCTTGTCAGAGTAACCACCTAATATCTGATTTGACTTAAGACCCACTCTGCGAGACGGAACCCATACCAGATTGCAAATGACCAGAAACTGGAGACAAAATGGCCCAGGGACCTAGGGGAAAACCAAATACTATGAGGGGGTGGGGAGGGAGGGAGGAAGGGAACAATAAAATGACTCCTAATGACCTACTATACTCATTAATCAATGCCTTGCTCAGCCATCCTCAGAGAAGTTTCCTCCTGCAGCAGATGGGAAAAAATACACAACCAGAGAATATGCAGAGACCCAGAGACCTTGGAACAGTCAGTTCTAAATGGGAAATCTCCATCAAATCCCTCCCGTGATATAAAGGAATCCTGCAAAAGAGGAGGCAGAAAGAGTATAGGAGCCAGAGGAGATGGAGGATACCTAGAAAAAAAAAAAAAGGTCTCTAAATCAACATAATCAAAACACATATGAATTCACAAAGACTGAGGCAGCATGCACAGGGCCTGTAACAGGTCCTTCTCATGTGTAAATATGTTTGTATTTATATATGTGTATGATTTCCAGATTAGTGTTTTTATGGGATTCCTGAGTGTGCCATCTCTTGGGTTCTTTTTCTTCTCTTCGTTTTGTTCAATTCCAATGTGGTACTTTCTACTTTATTATATTATAGATCTGGATGGAGTGGGGGGAGGAACTGGGAGGAGTAAAGGAAGGGGAAACTATAGTCAAGCTATATTATGAGAGGGGGAAAAACTATTTTCAGTAAAAGAAACACACTCTCACACACAAAAGATCTCAAATTAATACCTAATGATGTACCTCAGGGCCTTAGTAAAATGTCAGATTTCAAATAAACAATCTAGAGTTCATTAAATTATGCACAACAAATATGTTTTGGCAACCAAATAATGTAAAATATGCAAAAACAGTCAACAAAAAGTTTTGATGTATTTAATGCCAACACACCTATCAAGTGTTTGTAGTCAAATCTCAATTAAAAACAAAGGTCATCTTTCTGATAGGAGGAGGCATTCTTGTTCAGTTAGACTGAACCAACTTTTAATTACTATATCATGTAATTTTTTAACATAAGGAAGTCTTATATCAAAAATCACACCCATGATTTGAGGGCATCTTGCTCCCGGAAATCTTTGTCAAGTTTAATAACATATCCAGATCCAATGGCTCACATCACCGAGGAACAGTTCTAAAGAGTAGAGGTTCAGTTTTGCTTTCCTACTGAAATGCCACAACACTAGCTATATATTCAAGATGCTTATTGCATGAACTGTACATGGAGATAGATGAGTTAAATGAAAATCCACTATAAATTCTGGAAGTATAAAATTTTTAATTTTAAGAAACTGAGTTTTTTCATTTAAAATTTTTAAATTTCAGTTTAATTTTATAAATCCTCAGACAACCAATTATATTACTTGTAAAGTTTTACAAAATTCTAAATGAAATCTGAGATTCTATAGCACTGTATGAAAGTGAAGTTGTTATTGATCTGATTCTGCTTTTATTTTTTTTTCTCCTAAAAAAACTCTAGACCAGTTGTTCTCAATTTTCCTAATGCTGCGACCCTTTAATACAATTCATGTTGGGGTGACCACCACCATAAAATTATTTCATTGCTTCTTCATAATTTATTTGGACTGTAATATAAAAATCTGTTTTCTGAAGGTCTTAGGCAACCCCTATGAAAGGGTCATTTGACCTGCAATGGGGATGAGACCCACAGGCTGAGAATCAATGCTCTAGATAGTAAGGCCACACATTTTATCCGAAGAAAAGGCTCTACTGTCTAACATGAAAATTAACTTCACATTTTCAATGTATGTCGGGTGCTGACTCTGAGTTTCTCAGTACCACAATGTCCACAGGCTGTGTCTGAAGACATGCTACGGCAGCGGGGCAAGGTACTAGCATGCAGCAAGCCTAGGTGGCTCAATGCGCAGTGCTGAAGAAAAAAGTGACAGAGACTGAAAGTGCTCCTAGATTTTTTAAGCGAGCTTTCACATGATGATTAGCATGGCAGTAGGTGATTTAACAGGTGTGATCTTCTGTATGGCCACAAATCTAACACACCTCCATCCAACCACAGACATTCACTTGCTTTGTCACTCTTAGCTACGGAGGAACACAGCAATGAGACAGATAGAGACACATACACGCACACATGCACATGCACATACGCACACGCACGCACAAGCAGACCAGTTCTGTGCAAAGAACTAACAGGGTATTGTGTGCAAATACAAGTAAACAGGTTTAGTTGAAAGGGAACCAAACAATGAGAAGTCAGAGAATGGTCAAAGAAGTAAGCTGGCAACGAAATACACAAACCATTTGGTTCTGTTTGTAATGTCTGTGTGACCCAGAAACTAAAATATTGATATGCAGAAATCTGAAAACTGAAAGGAAATATATAGTTAATTAGTTTAAGATATTTTAGTCAAAATGGTACAATGCAATGAACATCTTCATAGAAGATTTAAGATCTTAAAAATAATGTTTTTGCTTTGTAAATGATTTATTATCTGAACTTTGCTTTTATGACTGAGTCACTGGAAAGAAAGCACACATTGTAGGTATTACACTCTATCATCCATCCATCCATCCATCCATCCATCCATCCATCCATCCATCCATCTGCTGGTGGTACTAGGGTATGTAACAGGGTCTGCCAACTGTTGAAGAGGTGTTCTTGCAGTAGTCAATATGCTTCAGGGGAAGCAGAATTCCTACATTACAGGAATCTGTGTTATATAAAGCCCAGTACGGTAAGCATCCTGTGCCAAGGATCAGTCTGTTACCCTGAGCTAAAACAACACCACACAAGACAGAAGCAGGTCTGAGGGGCAAGGGTACTGCCATAAAGGAAACCGTACTGCTCACAAGACGGTCAAGTGAGTTTCAATTTTTCTTACTTTGGATTTAAAAGAAAAAAATTACACAATTTAAAAAATTAATATTGTATAAGGTTCCTTCTCCACCTCCATCCAAGCATTTGTTATTGTCTTCTTAGACTGAAAGCCACTCTACTTCTCAAGTTAGAATCTCATTGCAGTTTTAATTTACATGTTCCCTAATTACAAAAGATACTGAACATTTTTCATGTTCACAGGCCCCCTTTTGGAAACTATTCATTAGCTCATTTGCTGGTTAGACTGTTCTAAGGGTTTAAGCATCAACTGCTTCTTAGTTCCTTGTGTGCTCTAGACAGTGTCTGTCAGACACAGAGCTGGAAGACTTTCTGCACTCCCGGGCAGTCTCTTTACTTTTATTTTATTTTATTTTAGGCAGCCACATTTGTCTTCTTTTGGTATTGCTGCCTAAGCTACTGGAGTCTTTTCCAGTATGTCCGTGTCTGTGTCCATACCTTTAAGTGTTTGTTTGCCTTAGTTTAAGAAGTCCAGCTCTTACATTAAGGTCTTCGGTCTGTTTTTATGTTGACATTTTTGGACAGGGCTAGAAATAAGGATCATCTGAGTCAAATGATAGCCTTTTTACTTAGACTTAAATTGGACCCATCTGACAAAGAGTTGGCTGTTAAGGAACCAGCAATGACAAATTCTGCTTTTTAGAAAATTATACAATCTATTATGCATTATTTCTGACTTTAAAAATACTGTCATTTCCTAGGTTGTCAAATTTCCCTACAATGATTATGTATTTTAAGTCATTAGTAGGAATATTTAAAAAAACAGACTTCCCAACAATTTGACCTCTTTTTGCTCAGTTATCACCCACATTATCCTCTATAACATCAGTGTTTTCATGGGCTACTGGGTCTCAAGATCACTAGGTCTGAAGAGGTGGCTTTGTTCTCATACCATCTCTATCTTGTTTCTGCTATTCTCTTGCTTTTTAAAAAACATTAAAAAATTCTATGTTTTGAAATTATAACCACTATGTAATATAACCACTTCTTCATATCTTTCAAATTCATGGCCTCTTTTTCTTTAATGGTGTGTGTGTGTGTGTGTGTGTGTGTGTGTGTGTGTGTATGTGTAATCCTAAAAAGCACGACCTGCTCAGCTGGTATAATGTGACTTGTATGCCTATTTTCAGGGCTATTTGGCATTACATGACCAATTGGCCTGCTCTGCCCTGGGGAAGACTACTTCTCCCACTTGCAGCTTTCCCCACATACTGTAAATCTCTGGCTATGGTCAAAGCCTCCTTCCACAGTAGCTTGTCTACTGGTGTTGTCCTGTTTTAGGAAGCCATGCTGGTGAATCTTCATACCTGTAGCTTCTGACATTTCTAGGAGACACAATATCACAGCAAACTCTGTTTTCCTGGCGCTTACAATCTTTCTGTCCCCTCTTCCACAATGATTTCTAGCCCAAGGTGCAGGAGTTGTGTTGTAGATGTACTGGTTGGGATTGAGCTCCATAACTCTGCATTTTGATCTGTTGCTGTTTTCTATAATGGTCTCTGGCTATTACAAAGAGAAGTTTCTGTATGAGGATAAAGGACTACACTTATATATGGGTATAACGACAAATATTTAGGAAGTAGGTAAGGGTTCTGCTGGTTTAGTAAAGTGGCAATTGTGGATTTTCCTCCAAATTCATGACTTCATTAGTTCTGGTGGTTGGCTAGGTTTTGCAGTACCCCAGGTATGATTTTTCTCTTGCTGAACAGGTTGTAAGTCCAAATAGAGAGCTGTGGGTCACCACAAGGTCCACATGCCATACTCCACTCTTAGGGTTACTGTGCCGTGCTAGCTGTGATGGTCACAGGCGTAATAGCTAGGCAGGACTACTGGTTGTTTCCCTGCTTTAGAAACTTGCATGGTGCCTTTTGATACTCTGTAAGCTACCCTGAGGAGGCTTTCAGGACAGATCTAGCCTATGTCTGACATACACAGTGTCTTCTTAAATAGGGTCTCACCTTCTACTTCCAGGAGACAAACAAGGGCAACAGCAATTATCTATAATGCTCTGGAAAACCCTGAGTTTCACTCACAAAAAGTTTCTCATGCCTCATATTGGGGTTTGTTAGCCTATGGCTCCTACAGGGAGCACTATCAACCTAGATGTAAAAATGTCATTTAAACTTTATATATATATATATTCATATTTATACACAAACTTACAAATGTTATAGGTATTTTTAGGTAGGTAATCCTCATGACTTTTTCAGAAACCCTTATCCTCCTCCCTCGTTCTTTTGTACTTATCTGCCCCTTCCCAATGAGACCCCACATTTTCCCATCTCCATGATCGGATCACTTGTACCCTATTTCTTTCCATTACTCCCCTATACCCCTCCCTCAGCAATTGCCCCATTTTACTTTCCTGGTTTCTGCACATAATCTAGATTATAGACTCACATATACAGGTTTGGGGCTAGGAACCCCAGATAGAAGAGAACATGTGATGTCTGTCTTTCTGGGTCTGGGTTACCAAACTCTTTCCTAGTTCCATCTATTTCCCTTATAATTTCATGATTTCATTTTTCTTTACATCTGAATAATATTTAATAGTGCTTATCAACATTTTCATTATCCATTCATCTGCTGAAGGACATTTAGATTGTATTTTCTAGCTTTTATGAAAGGAGCAGCAATGAATATGACTAAGCCAGTATTCATGGGGTAGAATGTTGCCTTTTTCACACACTGATTACCAAGGTGACTGGACCAGTCTGCTATCCTATCAACAGTGATTGAGGGTTCTCTTTCTGCCACACCCTTTCTAACCTTTGTTATGGCTTGCTGTGTCGATCTTTGCCATCTGACTAGGATAAGATGAAACCTTAAAGTCGCTTGACTGGCATTTCCTTAATTGCAGGGGATGATGAACACGTCTGAGACAGTTCTCAGCCATTTTTGTTTCTTCTGGGAACTCTCAGTTCGGACCTCAGGCCCATTTTTTTAACTTTGTTTTTTGAGTTCTTTCTGTATTGTGGATATTAATCCTTTGTCAGATAAATATCTTACAAAGATGTCTTTTTTTCTTTAGCTGTATAGAAGCTTTTTAGTTTTATGAAGCTTTTCAACTGAAAGGCCTAATTCTTGAGCAAATGAAGTCCTCCTCAGAAAGTTCTTCCTATACCCTATCATGGAGACACTGTCTAGGTGTTTCTACACCTGTATGATGGAGACACTGTTTAGGTGTTCCTACACCTGTATGATGGAGACACTGTCTAGGTGTTCCTACACCTTTATCATGGAGACACTGTCTAGGTGTTCCTACACCTGTATGATGGAGACACTGTCTAGGTGTTCCTACACCTGTATCATGGAGACACTGTCTAGGTGTTCCTATACCTTTATCATGGAGACACTGTCTAGGTGTTCCTATACCTGTATCATGGAGACACTGTCTAGGTGTTCTTCTAGTCGTTTCAGGTTTCACAATTGGATTTTGATCCATTTGAAGTTAGTTTTCATGCAAGGTGATAGAAATGGCTGTAATTTCATTCTGCTGTATGTGAACATCTAGTTTTCTATTTAATGAAGATGCTTTGTTTTCTTCAACATAGGTTTTTGGCATCTCTTAATATCTGTGGTCATATGTACTCATGTTTTGTTCTATTGGTATTTTTTATTGATCTCTTTCTTTGGAGGCTTAAAGTTTTCAGTGTAAAGGTCCTTAACCTCCTTTGTTAGGCTTATTCCTAGACATTTATTTCATTGAGGCTATTATAAACTGAAATGTTCAAGAGCTCTTCCTCTGCATTTGCTGTTGCTATATAGAAAAGCCATTGGTTTGTTTGAGTTGCTCTACAAATTTTCTAGGAGAGTTTTGTAATCTCTTTGTAGAATACATCATCTGCAAATAAGGATGGATGACTTTTTCTTTCCCTATTTGCATCCCTTTAATTTCCTTCTTTTGCCTAGTGCTCTGAGTACAATATTGAAAAGAAGTGGGGACAGTGGGTAGCAGTCCTATCTCATTCCTGACGTCAGTGGGACTACTTTAAGTTTTTTTTTCTCCATTTAGGCTGATATTGGATGTACTGCTGTCATTCTTTATTTTTGAGTTAAAGAGAAAACACGGTACTCTCATCTAGCAGTTCACTGGTGCCCCACATTCTACACACTCTCTTCCCTGGGGTTACCAGTTTTGCATTTTCAGTTTCATTGGCTGAACTTGTGAGGTAAACACTTAAAAGCATATGAAAACTCTTCTGGTGACTGTGAATGGCTTCTTGAACTTAGAGTAAAACTATAACACAGCATATTTTATACATGAGGACAGTATTTCTTCCTCCCGTTCTTTTCTTCTGTCTTTCAATATTTATAATTTTTTTTAAAATTGTCTCTTGAAGTCTTTTATAAGGTAGAAGCAAGGGCCAAGTCTTTGTCAAAGGTATATGCTTAGTACAATGATCAGCACAGTATGTTTTAAAGACATTTGATTACAATTAGCAACTAACCCACATAAAATCTTTTTTCAGGATCCTTCCCAGAATGTTGGCAATAATAATGCTGAATGCCACATGGCCACAGTACGGTGGGGTAGAATGACAACTGGCGCCCTCTCCACTTAGGTGATGCTGTAGCCTCACTGGTATTTCCCTAATGGCCGAATGCCACACAGTCTAGGCCTTCGCTGGATCTGACTCGCAGTACCTGATAAAAACAGACCACAAGAAATGCCACTGCTTAAGAAACTGCAGCAACTCCTAAGAATTTTTGGAACTATCTTTGCAAAATGTTTTCCTTCTCGATCTCTTAGTTTAGCTAGGAATCTATTTCCAGAACTCTTACCATAATGGAAAACTGTTTCTTCATAGAATAGTATCTGAAACAAAACTGTTTCAATTTCTAAGTGTCAAATTAGCAAGAACAGAAAAATCCCAAATACCCAGGCCTCCCCTCCACCTTCCATCCCATACACGTACCTCTCTTTCTGATATACAGCTGCTCATTTGTAGGTTTCCAAAGTTCTTCGTTATGCCTAGATTCATTTTTTTAATTTTCTATTTTGTAACAGTAACATTTTATTTAGTTTTTTCTTTTGTAGCCATTGTCTAAAACCAACTTAGTCCTCAATATTATTTTCCAGAGCAAATCAGGACATGAATTATATTTACTTTTCTTGAAGGAGGTCAGTTTCTGCGACTCTGACTTAGTAGATGAAACTCTGCATTGGCAGTATTATAGGCTGGAGGAAGACTAGAACAAAGAACAGCTGACTAATAAAGAAAACTTCTGCTCCACAATTTTTAATCATAGGAAGTTTTATCTTTTTCTGTCTTTATTACCTATGACTGCTGAGGTGGAGGGACAGGTCTCTGATAAAATGTTTGCTGCTTAGCATGCAAAAATCCCTGGGCTTCATTTCCATCACCATGGGAATGGGGAGAAAAGGAAGAACTGGCCACTGGAAAATTACTGTCTTTAATCACTCAACATCTTAAATCCAAATGGCGAGTGATCTGGAAAATAGATCATAAAAACACTTCTGGAGCTGACAGGGTGGGAGTGAGGTGGGGATAGCTGCTTAATAAAGTCACAAGATTGTTCTGGAAAATGGAAAGTAGAATATACTGTATAATGTAGAATTATGGCAAATAGGAAGAGACAATCAAGTATTTAAAATGCTTTTTACCTATGCTTTGTACAACCTGTATGGCATAGTGTGTAAGTAGCTAAAGCATTAACAGATGCTTGAAGACCTATACATTATATGATTGATATAACTTTTTCAGACTGGAACTATCAGAAAGTACTGACAAATATGTATCAGTGGTAAGTATAAAGAATAAAGACTTGAGATAATTACAATGTGTTATCAAAGTATCTGTAACTACTGTCTCACCGTGTATGTGCCGAGACCCCAATGGATGCCTGAAGCACATGCAAGTTACATTACTACCATCCATTTACTCTTGTTCAGTGTCTTTGCCATAAAGACCGTATTTCTTAATGTGTACTATTTACAGAATCTGTTTTAACCATAGGAAAAAAATAAAATAGGCAGAATGAACTCTGAGAAACCTTAGAATCTAGACTTTGAAAAGTACAGCTTCTCAGATGTGGACACACAGGTCACCTTGGTGAAGACCTTTGCTGCTCTGAACATCAAAGCCGCCCTGGGATCTGTGAGGCACAGGCAGAGGATGAACGCTGCAAACAAGGCTTTCCAGCCTGGTGTCCTCTGGTAAGATGGCCGACAGCACCTGCACAGCCCATGCTGAGTGCCAGGGCTGTGATTTGTTCTGTGGAAGGACAAAGAAGCCATCCAACTTTTGGAACACAAACTCAGAATACCAAGTCACAGGGTGGGTCACTGGAACAGGGAAACTTTTGGAGTGTGGCTTTAATCTGCCCTGCATACAGGAAATCAGTGATTCTAGGCTCTTTCATGGCACAAGAGGTTGGTCTGCTGGAGTTATTCATGAAACCCTTTAGTACATCAGTAGAAATTCAGTGACACAAACAAACAAACAAGGTACAGCTTCTTGCCTTTGTCTTGGGAACATTCTGAAATCCCTATCATGTTGTGAGCAAGACTAGCTAGGGAACAAGACACTTGCCCTTCCATGCTAGAACACAAAGAGCAGAAGAATCAAATAGTCAGCCCTCAGAATTCCAATAGCAAATTACTTTGTTTTGAGCCACTAAACTTCAAGGCTGCTTTCTATGCAGCAGTAAGTTTTAAGACCTGTTGATGGTTTCATTTAATTTAAATTAAAAAACAAAACACAATTTAGTATTTAAAATCACCTGCCATGAAATTATTATTATTTCTAAAGTTAATATTAGAAAAATTATTAAGTTCTAAGAAAAGAGGAGCAGTATTTCAAGTTTGAGAAAAGGGAAAATTGGTAACAGACAGATTTTATTTCTATGAAAATGTAGCACTTATATCCTACTTTGTATCCTACATATTCTGTATCATGTAGCCTACATCATATGACGAATTAGCATATGATAGAGCATAAAGCATTGAATTCTACCAAACATCCTATTTTATCTTATTTAAAACCTCAAGGACAAACACAGTGACGAAGCATGGTATATTGTAGAGCCAGCAGAACTCCCGCTCACAAATAGTTATTTCCCTTTGATAGGTTATAGTTCATTGACTTTAAATGTCTGCTGATAAACCCCAAAATCTTATACCATGAGAAGTACTTAATTAACATAAATTTCACTTTCTACTGCTGCTTTGGATATTACATACTTCCAACCAAGACTAGGGGTGAAGTTTATTGATAATGGGTAAATATTATCTCCAATAGTGTTGCCCTCAACAAATACCCAACTAGAATGCAGGGCCCTGTGCCAACAAATCACTGAGAGTCACGAGTTACAGAACAGACAAAAGCATATGGCAGAACCCTACTCTGTGGTATAATGAAAGGTAGGGAAAGCTAGAGCTCAACATCAGCAGTATAAATCTTCAAATTTCTCACGGATTAAAGGATTTTTTAAATTAAAGAAAATTTAAAATCCTACATTATACCAGACATTTCATTTAATGTAGTAAAAGCTTTCTGAAAAAAGTAGGAGAGAACTAGTGGTTTACTCATCTTTAAAACAATTTTTAAAACAGGTATACTGAAGCATATAGAAGTGTTGAGTGCTTTCCTACCATGAGGATTTGAGGTCCTCCAAACTTCTACTGGTGTATTTTTCTCTGCTGCTACTACAGAATACACACTGAAGACATTCTTCATTCTCTGACATGACCCCTAAACTCAGCTAAGCCTGAGGTTGAAATCATGCCCAAGCCCTTCCATATTCACACAGAGCTGCTCTTGGGCTGTAAAGGGGCCCTTTGAAAGAGAGAACGTGAACATAATGGGGAGAAAGGAACTGGGGAAGAGAAAAGGCCTCTTTTGTACGGTATGAATTATTTATTCAGCCAAGCCATGAACTCACCATTTCTAACTAACACTCTATCAGGGCACTCTCAATAGTGAACCCCAAGAATTAAAAGTTGCAAGATTATCACTCCTTAGATAACCTGTAATGTTTTTCCCTGCTTAGGGATATTTTAACCACATAACAGATTATAGTGTACCCAAAATTTACACCTTAATTATAAATTTCATAGAGCAGACCAAGATGCCAACTTTTAATTGACCCAAAATTAGCAAGCAGCTTTCATGACCAGTTTTTAGGCATTAACAAATTTAATTTAGGAACCCAAGTGTAGACATGCTTATTTATGAGCCCTCTTATTTGTGCCCGACAGATAACCAAGCATCTTAAACTGCTAGAGACAAATCTCTCTACCTGTGCTGTCGAAATTTATCTCACTGATAAATTTATCTTCTTTCTCAGGAAGGAAGGCCTGGCTCTTGATCAGCAGAGACAAGCTAGAGTCGGATTTCTCCCACAACCATTAATAATGTTTTCTCTAAATTATTAATAGAGATTAAATCTCCTCTAAATAAGGGCAGAGATAAGGCCCTTGCTTCTTGAAAGAAAAACAGGTCTAGTCTGCACTCCAATGGATGGACAGCCTGCCCCATCTTCCCACAAAACAGTTTCCCTTAAACACAGGAACCAAGGGCCATGAGATGCACGACCTGTTCACAGCAAAGATGCTACAGTACACAGCTGGGAAGGAAGGGCTGGGAAACCGAATGTGTGTTTCCATGTAGACAGGTGAAATGAGGCTTTGACCTCATACCATGCACAAAAATCAACTCAAGCTAGATTAAGACCTAAATGTTAGACTGCAGATTAGACACACCAGAGGAAAATGGGCAGATGTGGCTTGTCACTGGCCTTGCAATAACTTTTTGGGAGAAGTCCAAAAGACAGATGAGAAAAACTTAACAAACAGGATTACAAACTAAATATATCTTCACAGCAAAGAAAAAAATCAAGACTAAAGAGAACAACCTACCAGTTGGTAGAGAACTTCTGAAAATCATATACGTGATAAACCTTAATATATAAAACATAGATAGAATCAAGTCTGCATCAGATAAAAACGTTGAAAAGGAGCTAAAATACATTTCTCAGAATGTGATAGCAGAGGGCAGGACACACTGGGTCGATTATAGCAAACTTTAGTACACAAGTAAAGATGTACAACTTCTCTGTAGTTAAGAAGCAAGAGCCGTCACAGTCACTATAGTATATGACAATATAACATAGATTTGGAGATAACTAGGAAGAATAAGCCTTCTTAACACAAGAAACAAGAGTAATACATTTATTAGCTTAATTAAGCCACTTCATAGTATATTCATAATAAAATTATGTTGCATAGCATAAATAAATATTTATTTTTCAGCTTGAAAATAAAACATTCAACATTTTGTGAATCGATGATCTGTACTTATACAGTGTTACTCTGTAACTTAAAGCCTACAAAGCACACAACTTTTCCTAGAGAGTTACACACTTCTAATCTTGTGCGTCTTTATACTTTCTTTATTTGAAACTATGAGCGGAGAAGCATCCACACAATTTTACTTGATCTCATTCTTGCTAAGATATAAAACCACAAGCTTTATACCTGGAATCCATGAGGTGGAAGGAAAGAAGCAACTCCCGCAATCTGTCCTCTCGTCTCCATTCTTCAACAGTGGCACGTGTATTTGCCCTCCCCACCAAAGAACATGTTAAAAAATATGTAAAATCTCTGAAAAGGTGGCTGGAGTTAAGAGTACTTGGCACCAAGCCTTATGACCTGAATTTGATCATCCAAACCCACACGATGGAAAAAGAACAAACCCTCGCAAGTTGTCCTCTGTTTTCCACATGTGTATCATATCACACATACATGCACACATGATAAAAATATTTTAAAACCAAGGTTTTTTTTAAAAAAATATATTCTGTGTAATATTCCTAACTATCTCTCCTCTCTGGGTACATTAATTCTCCTTACTTCTATTTCTACCCCAGAAAAACCAGGTAGTAAGATATCAGCACTAGTCAGTCTGGTAGACCAGTCAGAACTCACCAGTGCATCACGATGAGGACTGTGCAGTCCACATAAGATGTGCTGCTACCCAGGTACTGACACTCAGGATGCAGCACAACAAAGGTTAAACAATGTTGTGTTTTGTTCTGTTTTTGACACATTTCACATTTGCTGTTCTCTCTCTGTCTCCATTAATCCTGCGATAGGATCCTGGATTCCTACCAGAAGCCATGAATTAATGATTTCAAAGACTATTAAGACTGCACTGTGAGGCATATGTCTAACAACTCTCATCCCAGAACTTTATCACCAGAATAAAGATACAGATTTTCAGTGCATGTATTTATGATGGAGTAGAACTCAGCAGTAGAGCACTTGGCTGAAAAATATCCATGTCGTGTATTTGTGATGAGAAAAAGTAGGTCTAAGTTAAGAAGAAATGCTACCTACCACCAAACAACTATAATGGAGCAATATGAAATATTTATGAAAGTTTTAGTTAAAAAGGCATTTTCCGATGTCAAGTGGTATCTGTGGATGCATCTTTAAGGATATATTCAAACCAAACACATTCTCTTACGTTGAGATTCACACAGCTATGGGTAGAATCTTGTATTTTAAATAGGTGCTAATTATATGTGAGAAGAAAATTATTTACATTCTGTAAGATATACATTTGCTTGTATCTAGAGAAATGGCTCTGTCAGTAACTTGCTTGTCATACAATGTTATGAACTAAGTTGGGTTTCCCCAGGATCCACATAAAAAGCCAGGGGTATTGACTGTCTTCCTTCAATACAAAGAAAGAAGGAACAAGGGACAAATAATATCAAGATTATTTGATAAAGCCTCAAGAAATAATATATTTACCTAAAAAAGTCATATAACCCCTGTACCAGGCATGGGAAATCTCCTTTCACATGGTGGGTCAGGGTGGTTCAGGGGATTCTCAGAACAACACAGGCTACTGATGCAGCCCTTAGTTGACTCTCAGGGGTCAAGGGTGGGTTTCTAGGACACAAAACTTGGATCATTCAAACTGGCTCTGACTTGAAAGTCTATTGCCTGTGTCTAGCCTCCATGATACCAGAAAATACTAGGCAAGCTTCCAAGGAAGGGAAACAGCAGTCCTACCCAGTTGTAATATCTATGAACACAATGGCCAACATGGCCAAATATTCAAAAAGGATACCTAACCTTAACGTGGTATACACGTGTGGGTGGCCCATTCAACAGGAGGGCAATTGTACCTTGTTCTGGAAACCTAACAAGCTTCATGGACTTAGAAAACAATCTATTACCACCAGTTTGCTAGACCAGTATCATTCCTTACTACATTCTAAATCTTAACTAAATGTTAACTAAAACTTTCATAAATATTTCATCAAAGACACCTCTCTGTACAGCAAATGGAGATCATCACAGAAAACCACAATTGGACACAACACAGAGATCCATAGATTGTCAGGAGCCCAGCCTATATCACATATATATCACAGCTCCTGCATCTGTGACACTGCGGGAGATGGGGCAGAAAGGATGAAGAGCCAGAAAGCCAGGAACTGTCTTCTGTGAAACAGTCTCTCCTAGAAAGAGCCACAAACACAAGACCAGAACAATAGTAGTATCAGTGTACACATTACCATGGAAGGAGGAAAATTCTTCAGGGATTCTCCTCTAGACAAATAACTATAGGCAACTGATAACCAGCCCCTTTATCAGTTGTCTATACACACGCATAAAAAACCCTTTTCTCAGTACTGGGGATGATACCTAGGACCCTTTGCATATTACATTAGCACTATTCCAGCCCCACTGTGATTAAGAAAAAACTAGTATTGCACAATTAATTTTCTCCCCGTCACCTTATGAGACCAAAATTAATAATAAACACAGAAAGTTTCCTACACCTGAGACAGACTTCAAGTCTACACTATTACAGTTGAACTATATTGTACCAATAGAACAGAAATCTCTACAAGGTGTTCTAGAAAAGTGCACCCAGGCATGGTGGTAAATGCCTTTAATCTCAGCACCTAGGAGGCAATGGCGGGTGGATCTCTGGCCACCCAGGTTTGCACAGAGTTCAAAGCCAATCAAAGATGTGTACTGAAAGTTTGGTGAAAAAGAAGTGGGGAGATACTGAGTTTGAGTGACACTAAAAGCATGACACCACACTTGTCAAGGGTTAGTTACCCTGAGCTGCTCCAGAAACCTGCAAAGCTCACCTGAACACCAAGGAACAGGCTGAGTCAACAGAATATATTCTGAGAATGATGACTTATTAAAAACATGCATGATTATGTTTTTAAGGCTGAAATGGTATGTGTGTAAACTAACAAGATTTATTAAATTCCTTTCCACATTAGAAAGAAAATATATTAAAAGGCAGGGAAGAAAGATTATTTATATAACAAATTTTTAACAATTTTATAACAATTATTTTTCTCATTATTTGATATTTCATTGCACTCTTCATTAAGTACTCTGTTCTTCACCTTGCTAAGAAATAATAAGGACAACAAGATGCAAGTTTTACTTCAAAAAGAAGAAAATAAACTATACTCTCAAGTTTCACTTATGCATTTACTGTTTGTTAAAAGAAACACTAGGGACTGGCGACATGACTCAGCATGGAAAGAGGCTTACCACAAAAGCAGGATCCCTGGAGACTTCATGAAGGTGAAGGAGAGAACCAACTTCACAGTTGTTTGTGGCCCTGCACATGTGTGCCATGGCATGCACACACATCATACACAATAATAATAATAATAAAGCTTAAAAGTAACTAGAAGAGATATTATTATTACCAGTGTCATATGTGTCACGCAAACCTACTAAGGTTTCTGCGTGCTCAAGGAACACACCAGCTTTCAGAATTACATTACTACTCTGTAACTAGAGCTCTGACAATCAACTATGTACTAGAAATAATCTGGGAGGAGCTGGAATACCCAATTCAGTGAGAAACTTCTGACCATGTCTGTAGAGTGGTCAATGTCTTCCACAGACTTGACAGTGCTTTTCTTGTGATGTGGGGTGCCAAGTGTAGAGCACTTGGGGCAACAGCTACTAGCTCTTCTGTCACATGGTCCTCACCAGTGACTGTCCTTCTGTTAATCAATCAAATGCAGCAAGGAAATGGCAGCTTCTACTTCTAAGGTAGACCATAGAATGTTCTGGGCCTCTTGGCCCTCTCTGTAAGGTGAAACATGCTAAATGAATTTAAAGGTTCTTTTCCACTTAAGAATCCTTATTTCATTTCCCTCTCTTAAATCTTCCTTAAAGGTATCAAGTCAGAGTTAAAGAACTTCCCCAGTACTGTCAAACCCTGGGGATGTAGAAAACGTGATTCACTTTTTATCAATAGATCCCCGTGAATGAATGAGCGGTCTCTGCTAGTGAACCTCTTTTAGTCACCTTCCTTCCTGACTACTGCCACCTAATGCTTCAATGGGGAGCTTCCCCGTGGCCCGGCTTAGAGAAGAGGAGTCTCACAGAGCAGCATGGCTTGCTTTGGTCTTAGTTCTATTAGTAGGATGTCAAAGCTTCTGAAAAATAGTTGTGCCTGGCAGACAAACCAGAGCACCAACATCTATATTCACAGTATATCTACAATATGCAACGGATCTAGAGAAAAAAAAAACAATTCTAGGTCACCCAAGCATATTCTTGTCACAAAAACAATTCTAAAAGTTAAAATTAATTTTTCCATCTTAAAAAGCTTAAAAAAACTTATTGTATAATACAACACTCCCAAACTGTCTTCACCTCTCAAAACACATATACTTTACTCTAAAGTATATTATATTTACAACTAAATGTCATTCCTAGTGTATGGCGTGACATGATCCCTGAAAATGAAAACACTAAATGACAAAAATGCAGAATGCAGAAATCATTTGGGGAAATATCTATTTACATCTGGATAAACATCTAATTAAAGCTGACTAGCTTTGCCCCAACCCCTCACCTCTCATACCTCCCACTCCTTACTTAATTTTTGAATTATAGCAAATTCTTCTGGTAGAAACTGTCAGGTCTTATCTAGAAAAATCTTTAAATATTTGACCCGTGCTTTTTTTTTAAAAAAAAAAAAAAAACCTATTGAAGGTCATCTTTATGTAATGCTTCTCATTAATTTAATATTTACTAACTCTAATTTAAGAAAGATTCTTCATTATGGGAGGAAACAACCATTCTGAGGGGACCTAAGACCCATTTTGTGAGGTAAAACTCATACCTGGCACTGTAACAACAGAGAGGTCACAGCCCTGGGGCAAACTGACTACTACTATCCTGCTAAATGGACACGTAGCATTAAACCAACCCTAGCGATGTTGTTATGCCCAGGGAGCAGCACAACTCTCAACCCTCATCATAGAGACCTACTCTTCAGTAGGTGGCAATTAATAGAGATGTTCAATTGTTCATTGTGTAGAGGGTAAGAGACAGGAGTGTTTGGTCCTACATTGTACATACATATTACATCCTTCTCTTCAAGTCTCGGGGATCTTAGTGGAAGATGGGCTAGAAAGACTGTAAGAGCCACGTGTAGGGAATATAACTTCAAGAGAAAGGTGCTTTATGGACACAACACATGGCAGTTGTCACAGCAATTGTGACAGCATGCAAAAGACCTGTGTCAAGACCTAACGCCAGACAAAATCACAGTGGCTGGAGCATGAAATCCCACCACTAGCCACGAGATCCCACCACTAGCCACGCATTACTAGCATTTGGTAACTGCTAAGAGAGGAAGAGCTGGGTTTGCTTAATGGTATAAGGACCACAGTCACTCCCAAGAGTAGTTGGGTAAGGTTGAGAGAGAAGGAGGGTAGGAGGGAAGGAAAGAGGGAGGGAGGGAGGGAAGGAGGGAAAAGAAAAGGTAGATAGAAAGAAAATACTCAAAGTTGGGTGGGTGAATATGACTAAACTATATTGTATATAATTCTCAAAGGATTAGTAAAAATATTATTTTAAAATAAAATTATTTCACTTAAAACCTAAACTATTCATTTAGCAAAATAAGAAAACATGAAGCCATTCCAGCTCAATACCCTCAAAGTCACTCTGAAGAAGATAGAACATTCAATGTAGCAGACATACTTGAGGGAGAGGAAGGGTCTTTTCAATCAAGCTCAGAGAACTTCTCAGGCACAGTGTGCAGGTCAGTGCGCAACAATGACAGCTATTTCCTTATTTGTCATGCCGTCATCTATAGCCACCTACTTTCCATCCATGCACAGCCAGCAGAGACACTAGCAGCTTCTATGCAGAAAGGCAAGTGAGTCTAAGAATATACTTGGTTTTCTAACACAGTATCAGAAAATAAACTAGAAACTCTAAAAAACGTAACTTGTAAATGACTCAATTTCATTCCTATAAATACTAAATATTACTTATTCAATATATTCTAATATTAAGTATAGTATATTTGAGGGTGCAAATTGTTAGCAAATGAATCCAGAAACATGTAAGAATCTCTACACCACATATGTACACATGAACAGCTTACACCAATGAGATCTCACCTAGTCTATTGGTAAGGAAAGAGTAGGACTGTTCCACATGGAGACCCATGACCATCATGCATACTACAGTTGATGGCTGAAGAGGCTTAGATCGGCAGGAAACCCATCGATGGGATAAATTATTAAAATCTTGTTTAACACATTTCTGTGGAATTAATGGGTTTTTATTTTTTTATGAGTGAAATATTCAGCGTACAAATTGCAACTCTATCAAAATACACAGAGAGAAATCAAAGCTTTAAGTAAAAAGAATCATATTAGACATGGAAATGTGATAAAGTCTTTTAAACTTTCTGAAAATGCTCAACTTAAAATACTAAGTATAGCTTAGTATAACATGAATTTTACTTCTTCCTTACATTACTATATAAAGTAGAAAGAAACTCTTAACAGGTTCAAATATAAAGTATCCAAAAAGAAACCCGGGTGAGACAGGGGCAAGGGTTCCAAGAATAGGATAGTCCAGTGGGCAGGTGCTAATGGTATGGAGAACAAGAGCAGTTACCATCCTTGAATGCTGGCAGCCATCAACCAAATGGGTGTGACGTGCGGCCACCAACAAACTGCTCCATTACTATATGAGACAGTGGGGTTTAGGGTGTGTGTGTGTGTGTGTGTGTGTGTGTGTGTGCCATAAAATCCAAAATTCATATCTTATGTATGTTT